CTGTAGTCCACAAAAGCTTATGCTCTAATAAATTTGTTAGTCTCTAAGGTGCCACAAGTACTCCTGTTCTTTTTGCAGATACAGACTAACACGGCTGCTACTCTGAAACACTGATATATTTATCCTCACAACAACTATGTTAGGAAGGGAAATACTATTATCTCCACATTATTTACGCACCTAACTTACATTGATTTCAGTGGAATTTAGGAGCCTAAATACCTTTGAGGATCTGGGCCTAAGTGACTAGCCCAAGGTCACACAAGATGTCCATTGCAGAGCTTGAAAAAGAATCTAGATCTTCAGACTACCAGACCAGTTCCATAATCACAAGATAATACTTCCATATTTTATGTGCTGTTATTACAGTGGGAGCTGGCAGCAGCTCCTATATTTAGGTTGCCTAAAATTTTTATTACAGGAGATTGCTGAAACCTTTTTCTGAGAAACTCTAACATCTCCATTGTTTGCAGCAGGTCTTTGAAATTTGGTGTGTGGAAAGCTCTTGGGTCCAAGGAGTGCGCTTCCACTGTCCTATGTATTGCCACTCAAGTTTTGATGAGTTATAAACTCTTGAAAAACACCACTTCCCTTCTTTTGTGTTATTCTGTCACTTGCATGCCTCAGGAAAAGTTTGGCAGCATATCAAAATAACAACTCAACATGAACATTCTAAGGCTGGGACCATGTTGTTGCCAAAGCATCAGCACACACTGCACTGGGAAAGCCTGGGAGCTGCTACAGCAACTGTAGCATGGGAGGCAAGGTAGGAAAACCAGGCCAGGCCCCTTCCACAGCCATCCGCAGACTCAGCACATGGTCCTAGGAACCCATCTATTCCTTTCTGGGAACACATGAGGTGGGAACTCTCCTATCTCCCAGAGAGGAGGGGAACGAAAGAGAGCCTGACATAACCAGGCTTCCTCTGATCGGTACCAGCAGCCCATCCCCTCCATTGGGATAACAACCTTCTAATGCTAACATAGTTAGCCCTGCAGCTCAAGTGGTAGCAGTCGGGCAGTGCCAAAGTTCTGGGGTTCAAGCCCTGTTGATTATGAACAACGGGAACTTGTTGCAGTTGCATGTAATAGCCTTTGTTTTTCTCCTTTTTCCTTTTTTTTAAAAAACTAGGAAATTCTATAAAAAATATTTTAAATAAAAATATGTAGGTTGCAAAATCATCAAAAAGCACACAAAAACTAGTAAATGACAGATACAGAGTTGCTCATGCAATCTTAATTCAGCTCTTTGTGCACATGAATTATGGCACAGTTTTTAGTTACATGATCATAATACTGTTTTTTTCCAGTCTCATTCAGTGTATGTAATGGATGCACAGGGGAGAGAATTAAGATTGCACAGCAATAGCAAACCTGGCATTTCCTAACTTTTGAGTGCTTGACTTTACAACCTAAATAATGTTTTTTAACATAGTTTGTTTTGTATGTAATTATAAATATACTTTTCTATATAACATTTATACAACTGAATTAAAAAAAAACCCAGATAAACATTACCATGAAAACAATGTCTTTTCTGTTCTAATAAATACAATAAGAAAAACAACACTATGCCTCCTGATGCTTGAAACAAAATGAATAGCTTCCACAAATTGTAATGCTCAGCCAAGGCCTGGCTTCATCAAGAAAAATAGCTTTTAGGAAACACATTGTTAATTTCCCCAGGCACATCATTTGCATTATAATATATCAGACACATAAACCCCTCTTTCCCCAACCATTTGCTTCTGCTAACCAACAATGAGGGACATAACAGCATTTTTCTATGTCTGTCAATCAACATACTCCCCTAACAACTCTCTCGATTACTCACTCCTGCAGAATCCTCAAGTACAACAATGGAGTCAATAAAGGTATATCAGTTTACACCAGTTGAGAATCTGACCCAATGATTTTAAGAAAAAAAGGTTGTCCATTAAAGGCTTGCACACCAAAAAATTGCACATCAGAAGATCTGGAAACACCACTCAGCCTCCACCTGTCTTTATTGTTATTAATATTTATAAAAAGAGCAGTACATTTGTGTGACGTTTTACAGAAATTCAAAGGCAAGAGCCATGCCCCACATAGCTCACAATCTAAATTAAATTAAACAACTGGACAAAATGATGGCAACAGATAATTAAGGGGAAGAAAATAATATAATTCCAAATAGGAATATGCAAAACAAATGTGAATGAAGCTTGAAATAATAGATCAGTACATTTAGCAATAAGACAGGGCAAAAGAAAAGAAGCAGATAGCACTAGGTTAAACATCAGCTGTAGAAGCATCATGAATTAGGTGGGTTATAAAGGAGGCATTTGAATGGACACAGGGAAAGGGAGATCACACACATGGGGGCAGCGTGAAAAAAGGCATGATGATGCAAGTGGGAGAGAGAGATGAAAGGAGCAGCAAGGTAAGAAGCTATGGTGCAGCATAGGTTGTAGGGAGAGCTGTATGTAGAAAAAAGGTGTTGGCAAGTGGACAGTTGTACAGGGACCTGAAAATGAAGTTGAAGCATTTTAACATCATACAGAGAATCAGTGAAGCAACATAAGGAGGGGTGACACGGCAAAAGCAGCAGAAAAGGAAGAGTATTTTAGCATTCTGTACAGATCGATGGGGGTAGGAGGAGAGTCAAGGATGCAGGAAGAGAGGAGGTTACAGTAATCCAGGTAAGAGAACCAAAACATGAATGTAGGCTTTAGCAGCAGTGAAAAGGGGAAGCACTGGATTTCAGTAAAGCTTCAGAAGAAGAAGTGACAAGATTAAATAATAATCAGGATGTGAGGACAGAAAGAAAGGAAAGAGTGAAAGATAACCCCCAAGGCTTTTAAGTGACTGATGGGATAATAGCATTTTCTTGGGACGGGGGAAGAGAAATGAGAGAGAGGGAAATGTTGATAGGCTTGAAGAATCATTATGATAACCAGGACAAGACAATGAAAGGTGAGGAAGGATGTGAGCCTGAACACAGTAGAAGAGATTAGGAATTGAGAAGTGTGATGGGGCAGGTCAGCAATATATTTATGGTATGAGAGATCATGGGAGCAAATGAGATCACCCAGGGGTTAGATGTCAGGTGAAGAAAATGAAAGGACTATCGCCAAAACTATAGCAAACACAAGAGAGAAAGGGGAGGAGAAGGAACAAGAGGGTTCACTAAAGACTATATTGAAGGAGTGGTCAGCAAGGTTGGAGGAGAGCCAAGAAAAGATGAGAGACACAAAAACCCAGAAATGAAAGGGTACCACGTATAAGTTGTGGGTTGAGAGGCCAAAGATTATAGAAATATCAAGAATAATGGGTAAGGAGATATCACCCTTCGACTGGATGAGGAAGAGGTCATTAGCGTCTTCTGTGAGGTAAGTTTCAATGGCACAAAAAGGGTGGAAGCCAACTGAAAAAGAAAATGGAGGAGCACTGGGAATAGACAGCATGCTCAAACAGCTTGAAGATGAAGAGCAGAGAAAAAGAACAAAAGTTAGAGAAGGAAGAAGGACTGAAAACCGTCCTTCTGACTTGCTATGAAGATAATTATCATCCTGTAATCTTGAAAAAAATGAAAAGCAACCAACTACCGACTCCCTCCCTCCTTCATCTACCTGATTTCTCCACCCACCATCTGCTTCTTCCATCAGACAATGAAACCTTGCATTTAGAAAATGTTGAAAACAGATTTCAATCATTTCCAAACTTTTTTTCCCAAAATTTTTTGAATAAGGAGATTTGTTCAAACTGACCCTTTTTCATGAACAGTTTTGATTTCAACAAATAAACATTTTCTAATGAAAAAAACATTTAGTTGGATAATTCTCAATACACTCTATCCATGAGGTCCCTCTCCTTCTTCCTACCCCTCTCACTAGTAAGCCTTCCTTCTGTGGGGAAGAATGGGCTGCTTCTTTCCCTTCCCCATTTCCCCTCTCCCCTTCTATGTGCTGCAGGGTGTGAGGCAGAAATCCCAAACTGAAAAAACAAACCTCTAAAATATTTCATTTTTTTAAAACTGAAAACCAAAAACATGTCGTGTTGGTAAAAATGTTTGGATTCCAAAAACCTGGCAAATTTTAACTGAAACCCAAACATTTTTACAAAATGTTTTCAGTTTTCACTTTCCAGGGTGTGTGGCATGTGTGTGTCTTTAAACAAAAAACAAGAAAATTATGACCAACTCTATGCATTAAAATTGTAAAGGAATAAAATATCTTTTTTTCCTTTTCCTCTTTTTAAACTTATTATGTTGCAATTATAGCATATAAAAGCAAATAAGATAATGTTCTAAAAGACGCAACTTTCAAAACTGTTTTTACTACCACATTATAGGAACAAGAATCTCCCATGTAAGCATGCTGGATGTTATAAAGTGAAATTTAAAGCACCATTTCAGTCAAGACAATAAAGATCACTTTAGCATTTCATCATGACTTTGCCACCAGTTTAAATCAGTCAGCTGTGACTGATTGACTAGAGGCTTGTCTTCACTTCCAGGGTAAGTCGACCTAAGTTTCACTACTCCTGCTACGTGAATAACGTAACTGGAGTCGATATAGCTTAGGTCGACTTATCCTGGTGTCTTCACTGTGCTGTGTCAATGGGAAATACTCTTTGATTGATTTCCCTTATTCTTCTGAGAGAGCTGGAGTACTAGGGTCGCCTGGAGACTGCTCTGCTATCGATTTAGTGGGTCTTCACTAGACCCACTAAATCGACCCCTGCTTCATCGATTGCAGGGGCATTGATCTCCCCATAGTGAAGACCAGCCCTAAAACAGTAACTGCCCAGCTCATAATGTTTGAAATCAATGATGTGTCACAGAAGCACAGTTTTAGTGGCACTATCTGCTTCTATAAAGTGAGATCTTTATTATTTCCTTTAAATCTGATACTGCAAGGTGCTGAGCACTCTCTACTCCCTCAGGAATCAATGGCACTTGAGACTGCTTAACACTCCACAAGAGATGCTCAGCACCTTACAAGATGAGTTTCTTTATGTTATAACTGATCACTGCAAATGTACTCACCTGTGCCATCATCTACGTTCTCCACTTCCATTACCTCTGTGTTTATTCTGCCTCGAAAAAGATACCGATGGCCATCAGTAGATGCTTTGCTGTTCTTCAATCGTCTTGTAAGAGAAAAAGCATAAGAACATTGTCCAAACACCATACTATACATTTTTTCTGTACCAAAACTACTATTATTTTTATGCATTTCAGTAGCATCTAATGGCTGCTATAAGAATCAAGGTCCAATTGTACTGGTGCTGTAGAAATCAGAAAGGACCCTGTCAAAAAGAACTTAGATCTCTTATAGAGCTGTTATAAAATTATAGTTAACTCATAATATAGTTTAGATAGCATTAGTACAGTGGGGAAAGTGGAGAAGGTTCAGTTAGGATGACGCCCCCTCCTCCTCCATACACACACAACATTTTCATTCTAAACCTCTTTTATCAAGGAGTCCGGTGGCACCTTAAAGACTAACAGATTTATTTGGGCATAAGCTTTCGTGGGTACAAAAACTCACTTCTTCAGATGCAACCTTATGCCCAAATAAATCTGTTAGTCTTTAAGGTGCCACCTGACTTCTTGTTGTTTTTGTGGATACAGACTAACACAGCTACCCCCGATACTCTTTTATCAGTCACTTCTAGTTTGCTGATTAACTACCTTTAGGGCTGAAGCCTCTCATGCTTCCAGGAGAGAATCATTTTGGAATGTTTGATAAACATTGATGCATATTGCATCCACTATCGAGTTATCAGAACAAGAAGTTTTTTGGAACTGTTAGGAAATGTTCTGAGGCTCTTGGCTCTCAGATATCTCTAAGACCAATTTCTTTTCTAAACGTCCAATATGCCATGTAGGGAGTTCTGGGTGAAGAATATGTTCCACTTTATTTCAAAAGCAAATGGCTTAAAGCACAGCATAGCTTACGATTGTGATAACCCTGTGCTGAATATGCACAGTAAGTTATTTTCTTTAACTTCTTAAGCACTGATTGAGGTAGGATACTCCAAGTATATCCACCTGCATTAACTTGAATGATCCATTGTGCTTACTGAATAATCCTTATCTGAACAACAGTTTAGTTACTACATTTTTATCAAACATAAAACAGGCATATTGACCATGCAAATGTTTTCTTGCTTCAGTATTAAAAGAGAGTGACACAAATACAAAAGGCCAGGGAACACAGCAGAGATGAGGCAGTATGAGCTATGAGTTCCAGTTGGTACACATATTGTTTTTATAGAAATTATAGCAATTAAAAACAGCATTGACTTTAATGAGGTCTGAATTTCACCCTTCATTCTTTAATTTTGGTCACCTACATTTGTATAGGTGATATTTGATTTAGCAATGTTAGGCCCCCATTCAGAGAAACACTTAAGTACATGCTTAACATTAAGCACAGTTCCATTGACTTCAATGAGAGTGAAGAACATATAAGCATGCGCTCAAGTAGTATCCTGAACAGAGATGCTTTCTAGAATCAGAGCCATAGTGATGAAATACATATATTGGCTACAGTTACAAACATTCTAAACAGACATCTATCTTTGGGGATGGGAAAGGAAATAAGGGGGAAGAAAGGAGAAGGAAGAATCTTAAGACTTTACAGTCATAGATCAAATGCTTACAGCTTCAACATGGAATTTCAATATTTTATCCAGGATGGGCACCTTTTCCTCTAACAATAACTCATCTTAGCCATTCACCTAGATACCTGTTCCCCTCGCACAACAGACTGTAAACACACTTATGGGGCTGAGTAAAAGTTCTTAAAGGAACCTTAACCATGAATCCCCTTATTTCTGTGAAACTAAAATCTCTAGTCCTGTAACACACTAACTAGGATTCAATTTGTTCTCATTGAATTATAATTTTCTCTATATCTGATCACATAAGTGATTACAGGCAAGGCAGTGTGACCTAAGGGCTATAGCACTGGATTGGAATTTAGGAGACCTTGGTTCTATTCCTGGCTCTGCCACTGGCATGCTGGGTGACCTTAGGCCAGTCATTTCCCCCTCTCTGTGCCTACCAGCTCTTTTTATGGGAACCATTACAGGAGAAGGCTGAATCAGTGCATTTCCTGGCCACTCTGACAAAGTTCCCTTCAAAATTGGTGCCATCAACTTTTTGATCTGTAGTGGCTCCCTATTTCTTCCTAATGCAAAAGTGTCTTTGGCTGATCTCCACCACTGAAGCATTCTGCCTTGACAAACCTTACACACCCAACTCCCTCCACAAGGGTCTATTCCGGTAGAAGCCACTATAGATCCTAGAGAACATCTTTCCCAAAATCTATAACTAATGCATGTGAAGAGATCTTCATAGCATCGGGATATAATCCTATCCTGATGCTTTGGGATAAATAAATCATAGAGCATACTGTACATATGATAACATGAATAAAGAATATAATTTCTTCTGTACAAACATTCAGAAAATAACTAGACAATTTTTTTTTTAGGAATAAGGAGTCAAATCTATTCACAGCTGTCTAAAAAGTATACATCTGACAGTTTTCAAACAGGAATTGTTCTCCCAATCAACACAATAGACAGTTGAAGTTTCACACTCATTTTCTAAGACTTCTCACACAACCTTAAATATATATTATTTACAAATTATTCATTTAGGGTCATTCATTCATTTATATCCAGAATTCCACTGACTTTGGATATCCTTGGATGGTTATAGTTAAGAGTCTAAGTTCTACTGACTTTCAATGAGATTTAGGCTCTTAAATGTATGTCACTTTTGAAAGTGGTCGTTAGGATTATAAATCCCATAGGCACTTTTGAAAATATATTACTCTTAAGCCTCAATTCTGTAAAGGGCATCTGTGCAGGCACAGGGGTCCTCTTGCATGGTTCTCTTTACAATGTTGGGTGGCTTATACCACAATTAAAACAGTTTCCCTCCTCTCTGTAGTAGTTATTTAGGCAATATCCATTTTTTTTTAAAGTCTCTCACTATGATGTACTTGTTTATATGGGAAAAATGTAAATAATTTCTACAGTAAAAGCCAATAAATTACCTGTGTTTTCGTTTACAGTAGACCAAAAGATTGTCAAAAAGAAAAAATACCCGCTCCTGGATATTTCCTGCAGAAATTTTCAGCAAAACTCCATACATTAGCATTTCCGTGCATGAATCTGTGATGTTGGACCCCTAAACCAAATGAAGAGAAGCAGATTAGTCCATGCAAATTGATGATGTTTGCAAAACAAAGAAGAATGCAGATTTCTATACAAATTAATTTCCAATTATAGCAGTTCCTTTTTTTTAAATTACTAGAAAGAAAAACCCACAGTAGCTTGCTTTTAAGTTTAAACATTGATTTGAAATGTTTATTTAATGAAGACTTTGCATTAATCCAGTGTTACCATCAGGTTCTGGGGTTTATTTTCTCTCTTTCTTTTTGAGGATTATTAAATCTCCCAAATTATATTAATGTACATGACTATTTAGCCAAATGGTTAGAGTTAGGTTGGCTATAAAAACCATAACAATGACCTTCAAATAGCTAAACTATGGTGTCAGTGTTCTAAAGAATACTTTTAAAAATAAAATTCTTATGAAAAAATGAAGTTAGAGGGGCCATGTTTCAGAAGACTGCATACAATATAAATTCTATCCCACTGAACCTAATTTGTCAGTGAAGTAGTTCTGATGTATTTTAAATAGTTAAATGTATGTACTTTCATACCCAACTTTCAAAAAAATAAAACCAAAAACAATCAAATTACAAATTATAGACAAAGCTGACAATGAAGGTTTTAACACATTCCAAGTATCAGTGAAAATAGGTCAGCTGTTCCAAAACTAAGGCTAGCGAAAAATAAGTAGTTTTGCCAATGATTAAAAAGTTCTCCAGTGGTTGGTTTGAAGAGTTCTAGCACCTCCATGCTTTAGAAAAGGAACTTGACATTTGGCTGGGAGATTGCCTATCTTTTGCTGCCCCCTGACACATGGCTGGCTCTGGCTTTTTGGCTGCCCCAAGCAAAAAACAAAACAAAAACGGGGCAGCCAGAACGGGAAAGCAAAAAAAAAAAAAAAAAACTAGCGGTGGAGCGCGGGAGCAGGGGGACCGGCTAGCGGGGGGGAGGGGGTGGCCAGGGCTACAGCGGGGCGCTGCCGTGCCGTGCCGCCTGCCACCTGCCAGGAGGGCTCTGCTTTGGTCGGCGGGGAGGGAAGGACGAGGACTGCCCTGCCGGGCTTGCTGCAGGGCGCTCCCGTCCTCCTCGCCGCTGCCCCCTACAGGGCGACCGAAGCGGAACAACAACAACAAAAAAGCGGCCGTGCCGCCCTAGGATTGGGTGGAATGCCGCCTCGTTCAATCTGCCGCCCCAAGCACCAGCTTGCTCGGCTGGTGCCTGGAGCCGGCCCTGCCCTGACAATCCAGGCAGTTTTGGTGAGATATAAACACTTGAAAATCACCATATACTCATGTAAAGGAGCTTGTTAAAGACTTTGCTGCTAAAATTTCTGATATGCTGTCTGCACTGAGCATGCTATAACCACAGATCTCTCTACATGCCAGTTACACTGAGCATGCACTTAGGGTGCTCTGAGCTACCTTCATGATAGGAACAGAGCTATAGTTGGAAAGAGTCCAGCGGAGGGCAACAAAAATGATTAGGAGGCTGGAGCACATGACTTATAAGGAGAGGCTGAGGGAACTGGGGTTATTTAGTCTGCAGAAGAGAAGAATGATTGGGGATTTGATACCTGCTTTCAACTACTTGAAAGGGGGTTCCAAAGAGGATGGATCTAGACTGTTCTCAGTGGTACCAGGTAACAGAACAAGGAATAATGGTCTCAAGTTGCAGTGGGGGAGGTTTAGGATGGATATTAGGAAAAACTTTTTCACTAGGAGGGCAGTGGAATGGGTTACCTAGGGAGGTGGTGGAATCTCCTTCCTTAGAAGTTTTTAAGGCCTGGCTTGACAAAGCCCTGGCTGAGATGATTTAGTTGGGGATTGGTCCTGCTTTGAGCAGGGGGTTGGACTAAATGACCTCCTGAGGTCCTTTCCAACCCTGATATTCTATGCTTCTATGTGGGGGAATGCAAAAGAAGCAGCAGTCATGCATACCGTTTCCCAATAACCCCATCACTTTGGCCCAAGGGAAGATGCTCTGAGTTGAGATCCAGGAGGAAATCAGGCGTTCTAGTCACAGCTCTTCCTCTAACTGTTGTTAATTCTTTGTACTTAACAATATTTACTACAGGGGTGTACATTTCCAGTGCACACTAACTGCTCTGTGTATACCCTGCTGGCATTCACTAAAAGTGTGCTGTTTGAAATGGGCAGGCTTCAGGCACCAGCGCAGGAAGCAGGTGCTTGGGGCGGCCAATGGGAAGGGGCGGCACGGCTGGGTCTTCGGCGGCAATTCGGTGGCAGCTTTACCACTCCGCTTCATTCCTTGGCGACAATTTGGCAGCCGGTCCTTCCCTCCAAGAGGGACTGAGGGACCCGCTGCTGAAGTGCCGCCAATCGCGTCTTTTTTTTTTCCTTCGCTGCTTGGGTCAGCAAAAAAGCTGGAGCCAGCCCTGGAAATGGAACTACATTAATGCACACTATGGAACTGTTAGTGTGCATCAGCAGGGTCCATATGGGCCCGTTAATGTGCAACACACAAGTGAGCACTAGAATTCACACCCCTTTTATGCAAACTAATGCACCAAGGAGACAAGCTGTCAAACCACAATCTTAGGAGGCACACAAGTATCATTCACTCACTATACTGTTAAAGTAAAAGTGGTAGCACGTCACCCCTGCAGAGCTGGGAACAGACTCAAGTCTCTGCTATGACAAGTTTCAACCATTTACACACACTGTCTTTCAGAATGAATCTGCCAAATCTACGTGTCTGGCTGTGCCATCTGTAGCCACTAGACAGAAAACCACCAATTTTCTATTGTTTTTTTCTGTGGAAAATTTTGATGAAAAATTCCTTTCGTATTTTTATTGGGGGGATGATAACCATTTTCCAAACGTCTCTAATAATGAAGCTCATTGTTCCATGTTCATATACCAAAAGACCCAATTGACCAAACTTTTTTTTGCTGCCCATTCCTCCAACTCCTGCCCGTCCAGGAAAGAAAGTGACTCACTGAGCAGGCGGTTCACACCTGGGATGGCAGCAGGACCGCTGGCTCCATCCTCAGAGGAGCCCATGGCAATGTGGCACAGACCAGACTGGGGCTCTTCACTCTCCCTCCCTCACTAACCGCTAGGGACTCCCTGTGTGCTCTCCTCACTGATTCCCTGCCTTGGACCTGACACCCAGCCACAGGCCTGCAGCCCATCCTGCACCCACCTCCCCCGGATAACCTCATCATGTCCCTCCCAGGGACGTGTGCCCGCAATATGAAAACCAATGCCCTACTTTATGCACAGGTAAAATAATAAGTTACTTGGACTCTGAATGCCTGACATGATTAAAGTCTTAACACTGCATTAACTGTAGTTTTCATCATATCACTACTCTGGGTATTATTTTTCCTTTCCTTTTTAAACAAACTGCTGGCTGAGGTCTTAAAGATGAAAAAATGGCTTCAGCGTGTTGTATTAAATATACAAGTGTTCCATGGACTCCTTTTCCCTTGGAGATCTCTCTGAACATTAAACAATGATAACCTTACTTATCTTATAACATTTGACAAGATCCAACCTGTGATGGTATAATTGTAGGTCAGTGATTTTTGTTAACTGTTATTGTATTCATTCATGAAGCCCTGGAGAGTGACAAAGAAATCAAATCTAGCTCTTCCACAGAACACTATCACAACGCCCACAGAATATAGAATCTTTCAGTATTCTTTTGATTTATTTAGCACTGTAAGGCCAATGGGGAGGCTGATATAGTACTAGAGGCCAGGCCACCAGTCCCTCTATCTGCTCCTTGCAGATTGTCTTCTGTGAGAGCAGGAATGAGTTTTGAAGGACACATTGGATTAGTGGGAGGCATAGGAACCCACTTCAGACTCCACTGAGGAGTAAGAATACCGCCAAAGGCCAGGGTGATACAGTTCCAGGAAGAGACATCAGAGACTGGGACTGGAATCTAAGTTGAGCCTGTGGTACCGGCAGTACCATTGAAGGCTTCCTGGCTATTGGTACCTAGTGTTGAAATGGAGCAAGTATTGGGGTTCTAGATACTATCACACTGAAGAGGCCTAGGATGACGGTACCAGTCCTGAGACCAAGGACCGATGCCATAGCCTGCACTGTGTGCAATGGTACTAGGGTGACCAGATGAGAGGAAGAAAATATCAGGACACATCCAGGGGAGGGGGGGCGCGCAGGTTGCCGGCAGAAAAAAAAAAAGGAGTACCGCGAAATATCGGGACTAATTGCGTCCCGACCAAAGATCGGTCGGGACACGGGACAAACACCTAAATATCGGGACGTCTGGTCACCCTAAATGGTACCAATAACGGGCCTTCACCCTGAATCAGCAGTGATGGAAGTACCAAGAAGCATCACAGGTCCTTTCCAGCTGTGTAGGCCTCTGGCATCAGGGCTAAGATCGATGGTTGCCCTGCAGAAAGCAGAGGTGATGGATCCTCTATTGTTACTGATGAGGTAGCTGGCCTTGATGATCCTAGGGTGAGCACCACAGTTGAAAAGTTCAGTCCTACAAGAAGCACTGTGAAACAGTACTGGGGAGTAGTGAGCCAAAAGCTGCATTTTACCTTCAGTACCAGAGTGGCCTTCTGCTGCAGAGGAGTCACGCACCAAGGACTTTGAATGAGTCGTCTATGCTGTTTTCTTTTTGGCTTTAGAGGATGAGTGTGCGCTGAGCACTTATGCTTTCTGGAGGACAGGGTATCCAGAAATGCTTGCTGCTGAAGGGGGTCTCCTTTAGCCTATGTCAATGGGCAAGGTTAGGAGAGCACTCCTGGAGGGAATAGTCAATGAGCTCCCCTCCATTGATCAAGTGGGCTCCAGTGCTGGGCAAAGAACAGCCTCCATGAGAATATAGCTAAGGCACTCTTCCTTTTGCTTCTTTCTTCTTGATTTGAACTCAAGGCAGATTGGACACCTTTCTCTAATGTGACCCTCACTCAGGCACTTCAAAATGGCAAGTGTGTGGGGGCTCTAATAAGCATTGTCTTGGGATACCAGGAGCTAGGCTTAAAGCCTTGGGACTTTGGCATAAGCT